ATACTAAATTATTTGTGGGGCCAATGCCATGACCTAGTGCTTAAGAGGATCAGGATCAGATGCCACGTAGCCCAGCTCCATTGGAATCCTGACCTGGATGGCTTAAAAACACACCCATCATGTAGGCCCCAGATCCTAAAAGGATAAATGGAAAAAGGATTATGTTGTGACCACACCCTACTAGAGGTGCTTTTTCCCTCTCCTTCTCCCTCTATCTCTGCAGAACGCATGTGCCCTCTGGCAATTAAAAAAAAAAAAAAGCTTACTAAATTTTTCATGGGTTTTGGACAATTCAGAAAGTATTAGGATACAAACCAAATTCAAAGAACAAAGAAAATGGAAGTGCCTATGGGGCATTATAATAAGTGAAATAAGCCAGGCACAGAAAAAATTTTTACATGTCTTCACTCCTATATGGAAGTTTTTTAAATGACCAGCAAGTTGTATGGTGGTTAAGGTGCTAGATTCCCACACGGTCAACTGCTGTCGAGTCCCAGACCCAGTAGCTTAAAACTCATGCTGGGTCCATGTGTGTGCATGCCCCAAAACCCTGGAGGAGAATGGAGAAGAAGGGATTGTGGCATGGCCATCCCTCCTGCAAAGTGATTTCTTATTTTCCCTCTCACTGTCTCTGTCTCTGTCTTTCTAGCAAGAGCACACGCCCTATGGCAAAAACCTTTAAAAAAATAAAGAAAGAAAAGAAAGAAAAATGACGTCACACAAGTAGAGAGTTGAAGAGTTAACCTCTAGAGGCTGGGAATGATATTCCAGGAGGCATAAGACAAGTTGGTCTGTTCATTAATTCTCTTGAAGCAGGTCAGTTTGAGGTTTCCAGAACTGCAACCATTTTGAAATTAAGAAAGGCCTCTACCACAATCTCACCAAGTGCTGAGTCATAGGGCGATCTGTTTGAGGAAGGGTCAAATGAGAAACCAGGAATGGGTACTGGAGTAAAACAGGAATCAGAATAAGTATCAGGGGAGAAAGATCGGTTCTGGTTAATCACAGTGAGGAATCATTTGCGCATGCTTGTATCCGTGCATCAGTAAATTCAGAGAACAGGTTGAGCTCTTCGAGAGTTTGGTGGTACTCGCTGCCTGTAACCAGTTGCAGAAATAAACTCCTTTCTTCACCAGGTTCTTCCTCATTTCTTGGACCATGAGAAGCAGCAGCCAGGCTTAGTTTGGTAGTAGCATGGTGAATTTACATCGTAGGGAATTCAAGTACAAAACTCCCGCTAGGTGTCAAAAGTTCATGGAAAATGTATAAGATGAAAGAACTATGTATGGATTTCAAAAAGTTTTTACACCAGAATAAATTTGTACTTTAATTCCATTTTCCCATGAACTTTTTCAAGTCCTCTCATTTAAGTACATTATATGTTAAAAAGCATGTAAGTATAATATAGATATTACATTTTTGTATATATATATGTCTGTGTAAATACTTTAGACTTAATCTTTAGTTAATACAATAGAAAGTTTAACAACTTATTTTAAGGGGGCAGCAAGTGGCATGGTGATTAAGGTGCTGACTTCCACATAGACTACTACAGTTTGAGTCCTGGACCTGGCAGCTTGAAAAAGACACCAGAAACCTGTACGTGCATGCCCAAAATGTCAGGAAGAGAACACAGGAGAAGGGATTGCAGCATAGCCATCCCCCACCCCGGAGGGGAATGTCTCACTTTCGCTCTCACTGTCTCTGTTTCTCTCTCAGTCTCTCTCTGGTGAATGCACGTGCCCTATGGCAAAAAAAAAAAAACTCATTTTAACAATGATGACTTTTGATTTTTTAAGATTTAAAGCTTTCCTTATTGTTATTGATTACTGTATTATTCATTCATGTCAGTTCTCACTTGCTTTTGCTGAAGTATTAAGAAGTGTAGTCCCAGGAAGATGAACAGTCAGCATGTTCTCAAGGTAACCATGTTGTACCCTGGTCTAAAGTAAGATCAAAACGCAGATCAAAACATCACATTGTACCTATAAATACATACAATTATTACTTGTCAATAAAAATTAATTTTAAAAGAAATGAACAAAAAACAAGAATGTTTATAAAAAATGGAAATAAGTAAAAATAAAAGTTTTTTAAAACAATTAAGTTAATTTTAAATACTTTTGGGATTCATAGAGATAAATAGGTCATAAGGACCGTGCACAAATTGCAATAATATTTAGTATCTTTAGAAATAGCCACACTTAGGCTGGCAGATAGCATGGTGGTTAAGGTGCTAGACTCCCACATGGCCAACTACAGTTCAAGTCCCAGACCTGGCAGCTTGCTCTCTCACTTTCTCTCTTTTTCTCTGTCTCTCTCTGTTAAAATTTTAAAATAATAATAATAAATAAAATTAAATTAAATAATTCTTTTTTAAAAAGAAAGAAATAGCCAGACTCCCATGTACTTTGAAGGGCTTGTTTCTCTTTTTTTAAAAGAATTATTTTTATTTAGCTTTTATTTATTTATTTATTTTAATTTGACCAGAGAGGGACAGAGTGAGAGAGAAAGAGAGAGGAAAAGTGAAAAAGCAAGCCACCAGGTCCGAGACACGAACCATAGTTGGCCATGTGAGAGTGTCCAGCACCTTAATCACCATGCCACCTGTGGGTCCTCGTAATAAACCATTTCTGTGTCCCACAAATGTCTTTCTATATTTTTCTCTTCTCTTCTCCTGCCCTCCTTCCACACTGTCTCCAGTGTCCATAACTATTTTCAATGCGTTTATGCCTTCTAATCTTTCAGTCACTACTATAGAATTCAGACACTTGGTATACATTAAGTGGAGACATACAATGTCTCTCTTTCATAGCCTGACTTGCTTCACTCAGCAATAAATCTTCTATATTCATCACTTTCTATCAAATGCCAGGGTCTTGTTGTTTTTTATGGCTGAATAGTATTCCACGGAGTACATGTGCCACACTTTTTCATTCATCTGTTTGTGGACATTTGGGTTGGTTCCATGTCTTTGCAATCGTGAATAATGCTGCAATAAACATAGATATGCAAGCACTTTCCAACTGAGCGTTCTCCTATTCTTAGGGTAGATACCCAGGAGTCGAATTACTGGGTCATATGGTAGTTCAATTTGTAGGTCTTTGAGGAGCCTCCATGTTGTTTCCCACATGGGAGTCCAGTGACATGACCATTACGCTAACTGCTGGTTCCCCCACAACTTGTACTCTTAAATGACATACTAGCACATGTAAAATATATACTTGTCTAGATAGCAATGCAGCAGCACCCCATAGCGTTCCCTGTGTTCACTCGAACGTTCTACGATGGCATCACCGTGCTAACGTGGCAACGTCCTATTTACCTTCTATTCCAACTGCCACTCAGTTCGCTGAGAGGTTCAAAGTCAGTAGCGACTGCTTGTTCTCAGCTGGTAGCTAGACTCCTTCCAGATGGGAAATCTGAACTGCTGTTCGAGAGGTGTGTTCAATTTGATCATCTGAATGCTGTTTCTTCAAAGGGGCCAGTTAACTTTTTCTTAAAATATTTTCCTGGGCCAGCAGTTGTCATGGTGGTTAAGGCACTGGACTCCTACATTGCCAGCCATAGTTAGGGTTCTGAACCTGGTGGCTTAAAAATCACTCTGAGCCTATATGCGTGCGTGCCCCAAATCTCAAGGTGATAGAGGAGAAGAGCTTGCAGCATGGCCATCCTCCCTGGGTGGTAGTATCTCGCTTTTCCTCTCTCTGTCTCTCTCTGGCTTGTGCACGCACCCTGTGCAAAATATCTAAAACATAATAATGATCTTTTTTCTCATTTTTTTAAATTTCCCCATTCCAATTTTTCTATAAATGTGTTTTATTTCATAATTTACTTTTTTTTTTTTTTAAGGAAAAGTTTTGCTGTAGGACACGTGCTCTGGCCTGAGACACAGAGAAAGAGAGAGTGACAGAAAGCAAGACTCCCCCCCACACACCCAGGGGGGATGGACCTATTGCAATCCCTTCTCCTTCATTCTCCTCTTGAGATTGGGGGCACACACATACATGTGCCCAGTGTGAGTTTCAAGCTGCCATTTCTAGGACTCAAACCATGATTGACCACATGGGAGTCCAGCAGTTACCACTACTCCACCTGCTGGTCCCCCCAACCCATTAATTCACAGCACAAGACTCCCTTAGCCAGGGAGTCTTCTCTGCAGTCTCCAGACCTCAATAATCAGAAATTAACCATCTCCATTTCTGAACGTCTCATCTGAATTCCCAGCCCTATGAACTGTTAGCAGAAGAAAATGCTTGTTTTATACCACTGTTTGGGAGATTCATCTTTATTTTTTATTGTATACATATTTCTTATTGCCAGAGGGTCCATGTGCTCTCCAGAAAAAGATCGGAGGAGAGGGGGAGAGGGAGAAAGCACCCCCCAATGGGTATGGACACACCGCTATTCACATCCTCCATTTCTCCATCCTGTTAGGGTTTGGGGCACCCATACACGCACCCCCAGCTCATTTTTTAAGCCACCAGGGCCGGGATTCAAACTTTATAGTCAGCAATTTGGGATATATGTTCCTTAACCACTATGCTATGAGACCAGCCCACAACTTGTACTCTTAAATAACATACTAGCACATGTGAAAATATACTTGTTGAGACCAGCAATTGGCGTAATGGCTATGTCGCTGGACACCTATGTGGTCAACTGCGACTCAAGTCCCAGACCTGGTGGCTTAAACTCATGCCGGACACGTGTGCATGCGTGCCCAAGATCCCGAGAGGAGAATGGAGGAGAAGGGATTGCAGTGTGGCCATCCCTCCTGGGGAGTGATTTCTCACTTTTCGTCTCTCTTTCTGGCTAGCACACGTGCCCTGTAGCAAAAACCTCTCTGAAACAAAACTAATACTTGTCTAGACAACATGGCAGCACCCCATAGTGTTCCCTGTGTTCACTCAGAACGTTCTACGATGACATCACAATGCTAACGTGGCAACGTCCTATTGACCTTCTATTCCAACTGCCACTCAGTTATCTGAGAGGTTCGAAGTCAGTAGCGACTGCTTGTTCTCAGCTCGTAGCTAGACTGTTTCCAGATGGGAAATCTGAACTGCTGTTCGAGAGGTGTGTACCATTTGATCATCTGAATGCTGTTTCTTCAAAAACGCCAGTTCACTTTTTCTTCCAATGTTTTTCTGGACCAGCAGGTGCCATGGTGGTTAAGGCACAGGACTTCTGCATTGCCTACCACAATTCAAGACCTGGACCTGGTGGCTTAAAAGTCACTCCGGTAACATTGGGAACCAGCAGTTAGCCTAATGGCTATGTCGCTGGACTCCCACGTAGTCGACCGCAGTTCACGTCCCGGACCCGGTGGCTTAAAACTCACGCTGGGCACGTGTGCGTGCGTGCCCAAGATCCCGAGAGGAGAACAGAGGAGAAGGGGTTGCCACGTGGCATGTCCTATAGCAGAAACTCTCTCAAAAAAAAAAAAAAAAAAAAACCCCCCCAAAAAAAAAGCCCCATAAGAAAAAAATCCCCCAAAAAAAAAAAAAAAAAAAAAAAAGTCACTCTGAGCATGGACAAGTATGTGCCCCAAGTCCCAGGGAGATGGAGGAATAGGAATTGTGGCATGGCCATTTCCTCCAGGAAGTGATTTCTCTTTTCCCTCTCTCTGTCTCTCTGGCCTGAGCATGCCCCCTATGGCAAAATACTTAAAATAATAATTTTTTCCTCATTTTTTCATTTCCCCACTCCAATTTTTCTATAAGTGTGTTTTATTTCATAATTTACTTTTTTTTAAGAGATTTTTTCCTATAGAGTACGTGTACTCACTGGAGATATAGAGAGAGACAGAGAGACAGAAAGCAAGAAATTACCCCCATGGGCGACAGCCACTCTGCAATCCCTTCTTCTCCATTCTCCTCTCAGGATTTGCGGCTTGCACGCACACTAGCCCAGGGTGAGTTATTTTTTTGTTTGGGTGTTTTTTTTCTTAGAGAGTTTTGTTTTTCTGTTTTGTTTTATTTTGGGTTTTTTGTTTTTTGTTTTTGCTATAGGGTGTGTGCACTCACCAGAGATACAGAGACAGACAGAAAGCAAGAAATCACTCCTCCCGGGGGATTTTCATTCTGTCATCCCTTCTCCTCCATTCTCTCTGGATTCTGGGCATGCGTGCACACGCACCTGGTGACCGACATGAGCTTTAAGCCTCCAGGTCCAGGACTCTAACCGTAGTCAACTACATGGGAGTCTAGCAATGTAATCATTGTGCCACCTGCTGGTTTCCATAATTTACATTTTTTAAGTTTTTCTTTTAAAGAATTATTTTTATTTTAACTATATTATTATTATTATTTTCTAATTTGACCAGAGAGAGACAGAGAGGGAACATGAGAAAGGAAGCCAACAGGTTCAGAGTTTAAACCATCCTTGGCCATGTGGGAGTCTAGCACCCCCAATGCCAGAGGGTACATGTGCTCATCAAAGAGAGAAAGTGAGAACGCACCCCCATATGAAATGGTCGTGCCACAATCTCCTCTCCTCCATTTCTCCCTCCTGTCAGGATGTTTGACACGCATGCACATCCACCCCACATGGATTCCAAGCTGTGGGTCCAGGACGCTCACCACATAATCTACCACATGGGATCTAGCCCTCTTAACCACCATGACACCAGTTGGCCCGACATTTTTGATACTTGTATCAAGATGGTTGCCTCTAGCATTTTCTTAAATGTAAGAGCATGTACTATTACTTAATGCTAGCTGTGTACACCCTCATCCAGAAAATACACGGGAAACCCACCCACAGTTTTCATCAGATCAGTAGACTCTTGATACCAAGTATAACAACAGATACTAGGGGAGAGAGAAATGGTGGGTCAAACACTCTTGAATGTAGACATAGAAATCCAAAACCAAATGTGAGAGCAGTCTAAGTCCAGAGAGTTTCAGAAAAGAAGGAAATTAGGGTTTTGTGGCAGGATTTTCATGGAGTTGATGAGGACGGAATCACTACACTTGGTGCCGCCTGGGACACGTGAGGGGGGCAGTGACATCAGGCAGTGGATGACCATTTGGAAACAGAGGCAAGGAGGTCTAGTTGGCTGTCAAAGAGATTCCTGGGTGGGGGTCTCCAGGCTGTGACCATGGTTGGGGCCCACTACAAGGAGATGGGATTCTCTCTCCTTCTACTTCAGGGTATATAGAGGATGGGGAGTTTCGGGGACTGAATTTAGAGAGAAAGGACTGGAGCAGAAAGGTGGCACACTCAGCCACCATTGCTCCTCAGCCAGGCCTGGTCCTGGCTGCTCAGCTCAATATTCAGTGAGACAGTGGAGGTCAGACTTAATCCATTAAACCACTGAAGCACCAGCCCAGATGGCCTTGTTCTGAGTTAGTGCCCACTAACTGCTCATGCATCATTGGTCAGTTGAAGGGACGTTAATCCTTGACACAACATTGGCATGGTCTACATTCTGAGCCAGCTTAGGGTCACTGGTCATTCAGAATGTTCAACCGATCAAGGGAAAGGCTCTCCTTGAGGGCAGTTAACAGTGAGAAGATGCTGGGGGAACAGGGCCCCAAATTGGACTTTGTCTATGTCCTTGAGAGAGGCTTTGTTTGAAGGAGATTAACATATTTCAGCTCAGGGATTAAAACCTAGAGTTAAGATGGTGGGTTGTGGTTTGAGCTCTTCTCTCAGCTCACCCATCTTCTCTGGGACATCAGTCTTCCCAAAGAAATCTTGGGACAGAAGGATTTGAGATACTTATAAGAGCTCTTAGGACTTTTTAGATCTAGAACTCAGGGTTCCAGGAATCTCTATCTCTAAGGAACTAACGACATTCTGGTCACAGATCCATCTCTCCTCCACCTTGTGACTCTGAGCAAGTCATTTACAAATCTCTAAATTTCCATTCCCTGAATTGTTAAATATGGAGTGCATCCTTGGCTTCGCCCATCCATCAGGGCTGATGAAGGGATCACAGGGGATTCCAGGTATTCTCCAGGATCTGTAAAGCATCATGCTCATGTAAAGAATGCAGAGGAAACTTCGAGCCAAGGACTTACTCTAGACTCAGTCACTCCCAAGTGTTTAGCTTATTCTTCCAGACATTTAATGACTGAACACTCTAGGGGCCTTAGGACACACCAGTCTAGGATGAGCAGATGGCGTAACGGTTACGTCGCTGGACTCCCATGTAGTAGACCATAGTTTGAGTCCTGGACCCAGAAGCTTAAAACTCACACTGGACACGTGCATGTGTGCCTGCCCAAAATCCCAAGAGGAGAATGGAGGAGAAAGGATTGTGACGTGGCCATACCTCTGTCTCTGTCTTGACTTTTAGCTATGAACATTTCCACATTTCAGAACAGAAAAGTGATACACAGAAGGAGCTACACGACCTTCCCATATACATGCAGCTTCTAAGTGGGATTTGAACCCAGGCCATGAGGCACCAGCCCTTTGCTCTGGGTCACTCTGCACTGCCGTCTTGTCCACATCATTCATCTCTTGAGTTTTAAGTGCCTGCCATACTGCAATATCTTCAATGGCCTCCTTGTTGCAGGTGGCTTTGCTATGCAAGTAGTGAAAAATGAGATCTAAAGAACTGCAAATAAAGACCAGCAGCTGGCATAATGGTTACATCACTGGACTCTCACATAGCCAACTGTGGTTCAAGTCCTGAACCCAGTGGCTTAAAATTCACACCAGGTGCATGTGTATATGTGCCCAAGATCCTGACAAGAAAATGGAGGAAAAGGGATTGCAGCATGGCCCCTCCCACTGGGGGGAGGGTGATTTCTCACTTTCTGTCTCTCTGTCTCTATGGCGAGTGCACAAGCCCTATAGCAGAGATCTCACTCTTTAAAAAAATTGCAAATAAATTATTACTAATTTCCAATTTCTCATCCTCCTACCAGACACAGGTCAACAGCTATCTCTGTTGTAATCTATTTCTCAGGTTTTCGTCTCAAGGATACAAGAAGAGTCTTCCCTTTGGGGTCCGAAAACTCAGCTGCCCACCATGAGCAGCAGGCCAGAAAAATTAGCATTTGGAAGAACAACAGAGTGTACCCTGTAGACGAGCCAATTGAAGGTATTGTGCAAATTCTGTCTTCAAGTGCATTCGAGGACAATGATGCGAGTTTATTCTGTGTTCCATCTTTAGGACAGAGCCCCTCAACATGCCAAGCCGTATTTTATTTCTTGTGCGCAAATTTAAATGTGTGAAGTCAATCGTTAGTGCTCCAATCACAGAGGAAAAGATGTATCTACAACCTCGTTTGGTTCACTTTTCATAGTAAAAACCATCTCAAGCTATTAGTAGCCATGTAGCTGATTGTTGAGCATTTGCCAAAACGGTGTTGCCAAAATTTTCTAAGTGTATTGACATTGGGGCCAGCAGGTGGCATGATAGTTAAGATGCTAGACTCCCACATGATCCACCAAGATTGGAGTCCTAGACCTGGCAGCTTGCTTTCTCATTACCTTCTCTCTCCTTATGTCTCTCGCAGCTCAAACTGAATAATAATAAATAAAATTAAATAATAGTAAAGTTAATTGACATTATTTAGAACAATCTTCGATTAACATAAAAAATAAATCGAGCAGATGGTATGGAAGGTAAGATGCTGGACTCCCACCTGACCATCTGTGGTTCAAGTCCCAGACCAGGGGACTTGAAACTCACACCAGGTGTGTGTGCGTGTGTGCCCAAAATCCTGAGAAGAGAATGAAGGAGAAGGAACTGTGGCATGGCCATACACCCTGGGGAGTGATTTCTCGTTTTCCATCTCTCCCTCTCTCTCTCTCTCTTTCTCTCTATTCCTCTCCAGCAAGCACAGGTGCCCTATAGCAAAAACTAGAAAAGAAGAAAAAAACAATAGAGATTTGCCTGGATTTTGAAATGACAGGAGTGATAAGACACTGTAATGAGTCGTACAGAGCATTGTTACATTAACCTATTCGTGAAGGGACTATTTCAGATTACTCAGGTCACTATGAAGTCACCACCCTGTTTTGTCATTTCCTTCCTGTTCCTCTCCTTTGCTTTCCTTCATTCACCAAGGAAGATGACCTCAACCACTCAGTCCATGTTTCTTAACCAGCCACCTCCACGCATTCTCGCTCATGTCCACATCGAGCAAGCTCCCTAAGTGACCTTTTAGCCACACCCTTATACTGACAGTGACTCTGTGTTCCCAGCTCCTGTTGAGGACATAACAGAGGAGCTTTCATGTGAGGACTTTCTAGAGGAGGAGATCCCATCGTCAGTCAAGGTAAGCTTGCCTTGCTTTGTCTGAGATCGCAATGCTGTTTCCTCGGCTTCATTATTTCTCAAGTGAATTCAGATTTGGAAATCCAACCATATACATTTTAGACGACTTCTACAAATTCCTTGGCTGGAGAATGTCAAGTGACGGTCTGTTGGCAACTGATGTCTGGATCGATATGGCATTCAAAAATGGCACCATCAGCTACAAGCTGTTAGACTAATGAAGGCTTTCCTCGGAAGCAATTTTTCCTTCTCGAAAAAGAATTTTGAGATTGCCAACCAAAATGGACTTGAGAAATCATACAAGGAAAACTTGCTCCCGGGCCAGCCCCATAGCCTGGTAGTTAAGGGAGTTAGGTTCTACACGGCTGACCATAGTTTGAATCTTGGCCCCAGAAGGTTGAAAAATACACCAGGAGTATGTGTGCATGTCCAAATTCCCGACATGATGAACAAACAGGAGAAGGGACTCTGGTGTGATCATGCCCCCTTGCACGGGGTGCCTTCTCTGTGTCTCTGGTGAGGGCATGCACCCTCTGGAAAAAATGTTTTTAAAAATAGAGAAGGAAAAAGCTTGAACCTTTCCCATGAGGGTCTTCTATGCTTCATTTTAGGCTATTACTTCCACCTCTGATTTCTTTTTTTTTTTTTTAATCTCTCTCTTTTTTTAATTTTGCCAGAGCATATGTGCACTCATCAGAGAGACAGAGAAAGAGAAAGAGAGAGTGGAAGCAAGAAAGTACTCCCCCCATGGGGGGATGGTCATGCTGCAACCCCCTCTCCCCCACCTCTCCCTCCTCTCAAGATTCTAGGCACACACGCACACATGCCCAGCATGTTTCTCAAGCTGCCAGGTCTGGGGCTCAAACTACATAGCCAGCCATGTGGGATCCAACCACCTTAACCACCAGGCCACCAGCTGGCCCTTCTGTCTGGTTTTCTATTGTCAAGTGAACACAAGAACTATGTAGAGCTGACCTTCACAGCATTTTCCTTTCTCTAATTGCAGGTAGACCTAGAAGCAATCAGAAACCGTACGTGTTCTAGAGTCACTTACACACTGACGAGAACTCCAACTGATGAGAAAGGTGGGACTTTCTTGTCTGCTTTGATCTGGAAAGTCACCCTGAATCCAGCTCTCTGCTAGGGAAGAGGATTAAGGGTGGAGTGATAGACACAGGTAGTCCAGTAAGAGCTACGACTATCTCCTGCAGTTCCTGGAAGCAGTCACGTCGTCAGACGGTGTGGGTTTGCGAACATGAGGGTTGGGAGGTATCTGTGAGTGAATACCCCCGCAGCGATTGTGAATGTGTTTGTGAGTACATGGATTTCCCCAGAAAATGTTGCCCCATGCACAAGTGTTGACTTCCTTCAAAGAAAATGTCATCACCACTGTACACGTTACATAAACCTTCGCCTTTAACCTTCACCACAGCCACACCTAACAGTGTATTTAACATCCCCACTCCTTCCGTGGAGATGACCCAGAGATAAATGGCTCAAGCTCTTGACCTCCCAGGTGGACAAGACAAATGCGAACCCAAGCCTGGGTCTCAATGTTGGCACTCTGAGCTACTGCACTGCATTGCCACTTGATCATGGGGGGGACCAGTCACTATGTTGGGGCGTTCTTGCACCTATGTGCATGCCTGAAGTATTAGAACCCACAGAGATCCCAAACGCTGTCCATCAGCATAAGGTGGCCTCAGTGGTAACCTGAGTAGCTTAAGTACATTTTTTTTAGAGGTTTTTGCTATAGGGCACATATGCTCACCAGAAAGACAAAGAGACAGAAAGCAAGAAATCACCCCCCCAAGGGGGATGGCCATACCACAATCCCTTCTCTCCCATTCTCCTCTTGGGATCCTGGGCACACAAGCACACGCACCTGGTGTGAGTTTAAGCTACCGGGTCCAGGACTTGAACCGCGGTCGACTACATGAGAATCCGGCAACATAGCCATTATGCCAACTTCTGGTCCCTAGCTTAAGTACATATAACAGCAGACTGTGGTATAGTCATTAAGATGAAACACACAGGGACCAGTAGATAGCATAATGGTTACATCACTGGACTCTCACATAGTCGACTGCAGTTCAAGTCTCGGGCCCAGTTATTTAAAACTCACGCCAGGCATGTGTATGTGTGTGTGTGTGCATGTGCGTGCACAAAATCCCAAGAGGAGAATGGAGGAGAAGGGATTGCAGCATGGCCATCTCCCCGGGGGAGGGGTCTCACTTTCTGTCTCTCTGTCTCTCCAGCGAGCACATGCACCCTATAGCCAAAAATCTCTCTCAGAAAAAAATAAAGGTGAAACACATAGAGAAAACTCCCAGGCAGCTCCCAGTTCCTGAAAGGTGTGAGGCACCACACTAGGACAGGGCTGGGGTCAGCTCTCAGCACTTGGCCAAAACCAGGAAAGACTCAGGGAGATATTTTATTACATTTAGTGACGTGTGTACCATAAGCCTTAGAAACAATCAGCTCCTCTAAGCTCATACCCAAGGGATAGTGCCAAATAAGCGCTCAAAGTACAACAGGGTTGCTGGCCCATGCCACCCGCCTTGTCACACGTCTCCCATTCAGCTGAGTTAGAGTCAGCACTCATCATATACTGGGCTACCCCACCAGTGGGTGGCTGGTGTGAACAGGGCACCCCCAACTCCATGGACATGTACATGGTAGAGATAAAGAAGACTGGAGTCCAGTGATGACACGGTGACACCGGACCCACATGGAGAAGGTCCTCGATTTGTGTCCCAGGACCTCGCTGAGCATGCAGCATCTGTCTATGACCTGGACCATCTAAGACTGGGGATGGATTGATGCATGGGGACCTTTTGGGGGTGCCCGTCTCTCTGCCTCTTCCTCATGAAAAAATTAATTAATAATTTTTTAAAGAGAGTTTTGCTATAAGGCATGGGATCACTGCAGAGAGAGAGACAGAAAGCAAGAAATCATCTGCCCCAGGGAGGACGGCCACACTACAACCCCTTCGCCTCCAACCTCTTAGGATTCTGGGTACGCACGCACACATGCCCAGCATGAGTTTCAAGCCACTGGGTCTGGAACTCGAACCATAGTCAGTCATGTGGGATTCTAGAGACATAACCATTATGTCATCTGCTGGTCCTGATAAATTAATAAACTTTTAAAACAAGAAAAATAGCAGTATGGCCAACCCCATGGTGGGTGATTTCTTGTTTTCTGTCTCTCTAAATCTCTCTGGCAAGCAAATGTGCCCTACAGCAAAAGTCTCTCTTAAAAAAAAAAAGAACAAGAACAGGAAAAAAAAAATCACATGATTCCTAGTGGTTTAAACTATATGTGTATATATATACATATATATAGAGAGAGAGTGGTTTAAACTATGTATGAATATATAAGCGCGTGTGTGTGAGTGCGTGTGTGTGTGTGTAGTATATATGTATAGTTGTGATTTTCAAGGCACCGGGTTTGGGACTTGAACTGCAGTTGGCCATTTGGGAATCCAACACCTTTACCACCACACCACCTGCTGGCCCACTAATGGTTATTTTGAAATGGTGAGAGTTCAGTCATTTTAACTCTTCTTTAATTATCTTTACAACAAAGGATTAGTGAATAAAATATTTTATCTGAAATTCTATCCAGTCTTCCACTAAAGGCTGCTTTCAATGAAGTACAAAATCTTACTTCATACAAGTAGGCCCTCCTAGTCCGTGTTTTCGCTTTTCACGGTTTTAGTTAACCACCGCCAACAACGATTTGAAAATATTACATGAAGAATTTCAGAAACAAACAATTTGAAAGTTCTAAATTGCATGCCACTCTGAGTAAGCATTACGAAATCGTGCAGTGTCCTGCTCTTTCCTGTCCTCGTCCTGGGAAGACTAACGAGAATACACTAAGATGTTTTGACACAGAGAGGCCACATTCGTGTAATTTTTTTTTACAGTCCATTGTTATAGTTGTTCTATTTTATTATTTGTTACTGTTGTTAATTTCCTACTGTGCCTAGTTTATAAATTAAACTTGATCATAAGTTTTGGGGGTGTTTTATGAGAGATTTTTTGCTTTAGGGCACGTGTGCTCGCTGGAAAGACAGAGAGACAGAAAGCAAGAAATCACTCCCCACCCCAGGGGGGATGGCCATGTTGCAATCCCTTCTCCTCCTTTCTCCTCTTGGGATCTTGGGCATGCACCACACACACCCAGTGTGAGTTTGAAGCCTCCGGGTCCAAGATTCAAACCACAGTCTACTACATGTGAGTCCAGCAAGGTAACCATTACATCATATGCTGGTCCTTTGATCATAGGTTTTTGTTTGGTTGGTTTGTGTGGGGGTTTTTATAAGGCACTCACTTTAGAGAGAAAATGGGAAATCTCTCCCTGGGGGATGGCCACACCACAACCCCTTTTCCTTCTCCATTCTCACCATGGGATTTAGGGCATACATGCCCACACACTGGCATGATTCTGAAGCCACCAGGTCCAGGACGTGAACCACACAGTCGGCCATGAGGGATCCAGCTCCTTAACCTCCACGCCACCTGCTGGCCCTTGATTATAGGTTTCATGTATAGGAAAAATCAGAGTCTACCTAGGGTTCAGTACTAACTGTGGTTCGGACATCCACTGGGGCCTTCCTATCCTGTGCGGCTAGGAAGGGACTCCTGTCTATATCCACAGCATAAGTGGATAATGAGGAGGAAGGAAATGACTTGGAGGCCATCATGAAGACAGCAGCAATTTAGCTTTGTCTCGGGAAAGGCAGGAGTGATCGAAATGTGGCCTGGCCTGCGTTTAAGTGCTTACCCTTTTTTAGATGGACTGCTTTACACTGATGGGGTGCCTTTAGCTAGAAAGCCAAAGGCTTGCTCTCCTTTCTTTCCTGCTTGTCGCCTTTGTTTTATCCTTTCACCGAGAGTCTGCATCAAGCACTGTTTTCCGAATAATTCATGAGCAAGCCCACCACCATAGTGACAGCCATTCTATGTCCTTCCAGTTCCTCCCGAGGATCTGCCACAGGAGTTTCCTAGAGATGGGGAAAATGAGGAGACCACATCAAATGCCAGTGTAAGTCGCCTGTCATTGTCTGAACTAGAAATGACGCTTGTTTGGTTTCTCTTGCTTAATTGAAGCAAGATATGAAAGGTTCCACATGCACATTTTAGATGATGTAGACTGGTATGTCATGTCCTCGGTGGGGGGAATGTCAAATGAGAGTCTATTACCCATGGATACCTGATTAAAGATGATATTCAAGGGACCAGCAGTTGGCGTAACGGCTATGTCGCTGGACTCCCATGTAGTCAACCACAGTTCAAGTCCTGGACCCAGTGGCTTAAACTCACACCAGGTGCATGTGCGTGTATGCCCAAGATCCTGAGAGGAGAATGGAGGAGAAGGGACTGCGGCATGGCCATCCCCCCAGGGGATGATTTTTCGCTTTCTGTCTCTCTGTCTCTCTATGTCTCTTTGGCAAGCACGTGCACCCTATAGCAAAAAATCCCTCTAAACAAGAAACGGGGAAAAAACGACATCCGTTACAAACTATACAGTAGCAAGGTTTTCCCAGAGCAGTATTTCTCTCCTTGAGGGGAGAAAAAAGTTTTCAATTGCCAACCAAGGTGAACTTGAGAGAGAATTTTCCACACAAAGCTCATGTCTTGGCATGTGTCATTTTGCTCTGTTCTTGTTTTTGGGTCCCCTGGACGTGACCACTGTTTTCCATCTGGTTTTCTAATGTCACCAAGAGAACCAAAGGGCATGGTCTGACCCTCACAGTAATTTCTTTTCTGTAATCGCAGGTCGCCTCACTCGTAAATGAAGACGGTACGTATTCTGGAATCCCTCACTAGTTGATGAATAATCTCATTGTTGAGAACGATGGAATTATCTTGCTGGCTTGAGAGTGGACAGCCACCTCGATCCCAGCTTCCCATTGCAAATGAGTGTGTGATTAAAGGCAAGAAAACCTTAAAGGCTTGCAGCCATTGCAATGTCTCAAGGCCTCTGACTCCCCAGAGACCAAGGGGGGTCTGAGACCCAGAGGAAAGAACCAGGTGACATTGTATAGGGAGGAATGGGTGGGCTGCTCTCTCGGGGCACAGCAGATGGTGTAATGGTTACATCGCTGGACTCCCACATAGTCGTCTACAGTTTGAGTCCCAGACCCATTGTCTTAAAACTCATGCCAGACACATGTGTGTGTGTGTGTGTGTGTGTGTGTGTGTGTGTGGAGGGGTGTGGGGGGGGGGGCGGGGGCCCAAGATCCCGAGAGGAGAAGGGAGAAGAATGGATTGTGATATGGCCATCCTCCCTGGGAGAGTGATTTCTCACTTTCTGTCTCTCTGTTTCTCTCTGTCTCTCTGGCAAGGGCATGTGCCCTAGAGCAAAAATCTCCCTGAAAAACATTTTTAAGAAAAGCTTTATTGTTGATGTTTGTGTTTCTAAAGACTGGATCATGGAGAGCATATGTGGTTCCAGCTGTGAGGATAAAGACTCTCCAGGTAGGTAGCACAGTCCAGGTAAGACCAATGAGAACGGGTTCTGGGGAGTGGTTGGATTACACCTGCTGCCTTGGAGCTGTGGAAGGGTTGTATAAATCAAAAGAAAATACTTACGAAAGTATTTATACTTATGACTTGTTCTTTTTGTATTTTAATAATATCATAGTAAGATTTTGGGGACTTCAGGTGTGCTGTTTTAACCCTTTTATCTTGCTTTGCTATTTGAAGACACCTTTTCCAAAAGATTAACCCTTTTTCTTTTTTTTTTTGGAGAGATTTTCGCTATAGGGCACGTGCTCTTGCCAGAAAGAGAGAGAGAGAGAGACAGAGAGACAGAAAGTGAGAAATCACCTCCCAGAGGGGATGGCCACACCGCAATCCCTTCTCCTCCATTCTCCTCTTGGAATCTTGGACACGCATGCACACCCGCCAGGCATGAGTGTAGGCCACCAGATCCAGGACTCAAACCGCGGTTGACTACATGGGAGTCCAGTGACATAGCCATTACGCCAACTGCTGGTCCCTAAGATTAACCCTTTTGATTGGTTAGCATCTCCTAGTAATTGCTTCGCTATTTAAAGATACATTTCCCAAAAGATTAACCTTTTCGGTTGGTTAGCATCTCCTGGTAATTGAACACAAGAGATATTATTTGAGTTTGGCATTAATTCCCATCGTAGTCCACTTATGCCACTACAACAAAATGCCTGAGACTGAGTCATTTATAAAGAAGTAAATGTATTTCTCACATTCTGGAGTCCAGGATCAGGGTGCTGCTGTTTGGTCTGGTGGGGGCCTTTTGCTGCATCTACAGATGACAGGAGGTAGAAGGGCAGGGAATCTGATGGGACACAATTCTGTCACAGTCACAACCATGAACCTGGACTCAGAGTTCTAGTGTGTGCCAAGCAGTGGGTGAGAGGTCAGCGCTCGCTCTCTCTCTCTCTCTCTCTCTTCTCTCACCTGAGAGACCTGTGGTTGCTTCTTCATGTTCTGTCCTCACTGTTCACTCCCAGTTTCAAAGGCATCCCAGGGTGGATGAGTTAAAGACTTCTCTGAGTTTCCTGCACATGCTCTTGGGTCCTTCCGGAGATGAGCGATGGGAGCACATCCTGGAACATATTTCTGGTCTCCGCTCCTCGGCCAAATCCCACGTCCCAAGGCAAGACGTAGAATCTGAACTTGCTTCCATTTGAGAGGCCTCAAGTCCCTGCATGGCCGGGCAGGAATCGCAGAGGACACGTGAAAAGAGCCTGCCGGGCTGGCTGCACCAGCTCTCAGTCCTGCTGACCACGTGCCTCAGAATCAACCAGGCCCAGGACAGGGCCTCTGGGCAGCAAAGCCATGAGTCCCTGCTCTTCTCAAATCTACTGTCCCAGCCAAACAGTGCCACATCGTCCCCACCTCACCTCAGGCTGCCAGGTGCCCTGCCCGTTCAGTGCCTTCACAGCTTGGTGCAAACCCCGGCAGGTCCTGTTTATTGATGTGGCTGAAAATCCACCTGCTTAATACATATCCTGCTGTCTCACTTGAGCTAAGGGGATTGGGATGAATATTATATGTTACCTCTCAGTTCTTCCTCTTTTCTCATGGTTCCAGGAAAGTTCAGGGGTTGTTGTGAAGATTAAATCTTTCCCACATACCTAGGATCCTCCCAGACATAAAAGAATCACTCAGAATGCAGAGTCTGTTATTACTACCCCTCATGGGGCCCAACACGACCCCTGGCCCATGGAGGTGCTCCCTGGAATGAGCTGGTTAATTAACTGATCGTCTGAGTGGGAAGCGTTGCCATATTTCTCCGTTCTTTCCTCCAGTGTCTTTGTATGCGGGAACAATAAGACTGGCGGAGGCAGACAAGAGGACAGAAAACAGGCAGTGAGGGTGGGAGGAGGGAGAGAAGCCCGTAGTAGGTCCAGGCATCAAGCCTATGTCACACACAGAACATCCTGGAACCAGCAGCCACCTCTCAGAGGAGCAGGAACTCTTCTTTGTCACAGTCTTGCACTATGAAGGCTGGAGGTCAGAAGTCAGAGGTCAGAGATCCACTCTCTCATTGCAGAGGTGGCACAGCCCAGGCCCAGGGAGTCGCATGCAGACGAGGACATAGGAGGGTCCTGAGGTCAGGCTACATAAACCAATGAGTGGCAGGGGCCCCTCCTCCAGGTCCTGAGGTTCTCACCTCAGCCCTAACTCTCCTCTCTCCTTTCTTTTTCTTTCTTTCTTTCTTTTTTTTTTTTTTTTTAGAGATTTTTGCTATAGGGAGCATGCGCTCGCCAGAAAGACAAAGACAGAGAGATAGAAAGCGAGAAATCACCCCCCAGGGGGGATGGCCATGCCGCAATCCCTTCTCCTCCATTCTCCTCTTGGGATCTTGGGCATGCACGCACACGCGCCTGGTGTGAGTTTAAGCCACCGGGTCTGGGACTCGAACCGCGGTCGACTATATGGGAGTTGAGCGACATAGCCATTACGCTAACTGCTGGTCCCTCCCCTTTTTTTTCTCATGGCCACCTCATGGCCGGCACCGATCCTGCACTCTTAGAAGACTACTTTGCAGATGTTGAAGACTCCGAAAGAGGAAGCAACAACCCACATGTAATTTATCGCCTCTTTCATTTGTCTCTCCTTACCAGTAATGGAATCTCTGAGCCAAGTGTGAGTTTTCTTTTTCCTTTTTTTAAATTGTATTTAACTTTATTTATTCATTCATTTATTTATCTCAATTTGACCAGAGAGGGATAGAGTGAGAGAGAGAGAGAGAGAGAGAAAAAGCAAGCCACCAGGTCCAGGACTTGAACCACAGTCAGCCATGTGGAAGTCCAGCACCCTTAACTACCAAGCCACCTGCTGGCCCCTCTTTTTTCTTTTTTTTTATTTTAGTGTTTGCTATAGGGTGTGTGCTCGCACGTGAGAAAGAGAGAAAGAGAGGGAAAGTGAGAAATCACTCCCTGGACAGATGGCCACACTGCAATCCCTTCTCTTTCATTCTCCCCTCAGGATTTTAGGCATGCACACACTCCCGGCATGATTTTTAAGCCTCCAGGTCTAAGACTCGAACCCCACAGTCAGCCATGTGGGATCCAGTACCCTAACCTCCATGCCACCTGTTAGCCCTGTCTTTCCTTCTTTTCGCAATTCCCATCCTGAAGGACCTGGTCTCATCCAGGCAGCTCATACATTGTCATCTTCAGTGTCTATAAAGCCTCTCTTCTGCCCCCCCTTCACCCACATTCTTAGCTTTGCCCTGGGCTTTGACCCCAAGTCTACACCACTGAATCGTGCTGAGCAACCCCACATGGCCAGGCACGGAGCAGGCCTGGGGGTCAGAGAGCTGGGCCGCAGCCTGGCGAAGGGTGCCTCAGTGAAGTCAAGCTCTCTCTGGGTCCCACACGGGGGTGGCAGTGGGTGGCTCTGGACATGCACAACTGTTCCTTTCCTTCCAGCTGTCAACTAAGTCTCTGGTTCTGCGTTCAAGAGATAGTACTGAGGATATCAAAGGAGATGAAGAACAGGAAGGGGAGATGTGAGTGTGGATGGGGGCAGAGAAGAAAGCGAGTAAGTGCGTGCGCTCTCCCTGGGGCCCTAACTTTCTCTCTGGCGCATCAGGAAAACCAACACAACTGGGGAGAGCACCGAAGTGGCCGCTCCTGTGCCCGACCACACAAACGAAGACGAGGAGACTGAAGAAACCCCAACAAGTGAGTGAAGTACAGCCTGAGCACATCCTGTCGTTCCATACAACCCCAAAGGCTCTAAGCTGAGGCCACCAATGGCTGTCTCACAAGGAGGAGACCCTGCAGGTGCTGGCAGGGCCACCTGAGCTTGGCTTCAGAGGGGGCTATTCCTGTGTCCCTGGAGAGTACCTCCGGAGCTGTTCAGTGTCTCCTCCTGCAGGACCCTGCCCTACCCTCCCAACCTTCCCTGTCCTCTCCCCCTGCAGGACCCTGCCCTGCCCTCCCAACTCCAAGGTCAGGATTAACCTCCAGTTAATCATTAGGTGCAGCGAGACGTTCCTCAATGTGGGATGACCAGGGGATGGCCCTGACCTCCCCTAATCCATCCAAGCCTCCTGGGAAAACTCTGAGGCAGAGAAGGACACCCTGGGCTTCTTGTCATGTAGGCAGGGTAGCCCAGCTGGCCCCGTTCTGCATGCCTGTGGGCACTTAGTAGGTCCAGGCATCAAGTCAGGGATGCTACAGGATCTGAGACCTACTGGGGTCACCTCATGGCACCATTTCCCAAGATGAGGTCTGAGGGCTTTTTTAATATATATTTTGGGGTGTTGTTATACATAGTTTTTTATATGTATATGAAATTCAAAACACCTGAAGGCAATTCAACGTCATGCTCCCTTCGAGTGCGTCAAGGATGTAGGATTACAGTTCCTGTATCACTTAGATTTATTTTCCAATTTTGTAATTATAATTATTATAAAAAGAACCAATTTTTATTTTACACTTTAAGAAGAAATGGACCCACAGCAATGGTGCAGGTGGTAGGACACCTCTGGGTACACTGAGCCACATGGGAGGCCTGGGTTTGGATCCTGGGTGGATCTGAACACCCACCAGCAATCCTGACTGGGAGGTGGCTGGTGACAGGGCAAGATCTGGTCAAGAGTACATTTCTTTTCACCATGAATAAATAAATAAAATAAAGTTAAAAAAAAAAAAAAGAAAGAAAGAAAGAAAAGAAAAAGGGCCAGCCAGATCATGTGGTGGTTAAGGCGCCTGGATCCCATTTGGCCAAGTTCCCAATTAGAGTTCCAGACCTGGCAGCTTAGAAAATAGACTGGGCAGGACCAGCAGATAATGTCACGGTTACATGCTGGCCTCCCACATGGCTGACCGCAGTTCGAGTTCCAGATCTGGTGACTTGAAACTCACACCAAGCGCATGTGTGTATGCCCAAAATCTCAGGAGGAGAATGGAGGAGAGGGGATTGTGGTGTGGCTATCAACCCCCCTGGGGGTGGGGGGTGGGGAGGTGGGCGATTTCTCACTTTCTGTCTCTCTGTCTCTGTCTATTTCCCCAGCAAGCTCATGCCCCCATAGCAAAAATCTCTCTCAAAAATTAAAAAAAAAAGAAAATATGCTGAGCAAGTATGTGCCAAAAATCCCAAGAGGAGATTAGAGGAGAAGGGATTGCAGATCATTCCCTCCAGAGGAGTGATTTCTGATTTCTCACTTTCCCTCTCTTTCTCTCTCCAGTGAGCACACACACCTTATAGCAAAAACCTTAAAAAAAAAAAAAAAAAAAGAAAATAAACAAAGCTGTGTCTTTTATAGCCCTTTTCATGTTGAAATATACCAAAGTGATAAAATTTATATTTTACCGCCATATAATGATTTTTAAATTAAAAATTGTATAATGATTTTTAAATTTAAAACCATGAATGCACAGACAAGTTGGTAGGGATTTTAGAAAGAAAAAAAAAATCCTACGGGAAAAGAAAACACCGAAGCATCCCAGGTCACTGTCCCTTCCTAACGTGCAGGTTAGGAAGGGACATAACTGGATCATCTGGGTGTTGAGGGTGTGAAGGGCAGGAACGGGGTCATCAGGCCTCCCGCTGCTCATGGGGCCCTGTGGTTGGGACTTTGCTTTTGCATCCTGAGTCCTGGAGACCTCTCCTTTCCTCTGAACCAGGGTCACTGCCCAGGGGCAGTCCCCTGAAGGCAGCCTGGGAGACCCCAGGTTAAATCATTCCTGTAAGAATTCACTGACATCTGCTGACAGATGCCACCCTCAGCAGAGAGCAGCCAGCAGGTCTCAGTGTCCTTTGATCCTGACTCCTGGTAGGTCAGGGACCCCAGGATGCCTTCCAGAGCCCAAGGGATCCTCTGGGTCCTGCACACCCCTCCTAAGGAGCACCTCCTTCCTCAGCTCCACGCCTCCCTACTGACCCTGTCCTTGCATCTCCGTTGCAGACTTCGTAACTGACATCTGGGAAGGCATCTCCCCCTGGACTTCAGAGTTTCTGGAATTTTCCAAGTACTGGGAAACGTAAATCTGATACAAGGACAAGAAGCCTCCTCCCTGCTCATCTTTCCCTGTGTCACTAATGTAGTGGCAGTTCATTTTTTAATTGTCTAGATTTAGTATTAGCTGTAGAGATAAGTTGTGTATTTCATGTTGGTGTTTTTCCTATTAAATAATAGTTATCTCTTACTAGTTGCTTTTAATTTTTTTTTTCTAGAAAACACATCAGAAGGAAACATCCTAAGCAAAGCCAGAACTTAGTGAACTAGAAAGCAATCAGTCTGGTGACCAACACCATGACGATTCTTGCCGCCACCTCACCCTCATTTTGTCTTCATTGAACAATGTAACTGAACCAGGAGGGACCTGTGGGTTGTTCTGGTGTGGCTGAGTCACAGGACCCAAAAATGGGGACCCTTGATGGATGCCTTGATGGCACCAGTAGAAGTCACCAAGAAGTGCCCCACTATCTGTCCTGTTTATGGACTAAAAAAATAGAAGTGCTTATTCTTCCTGTGCAACCCAGCGGGGTTCATTCATTTATTCGGCCAACATGACAGGAGGCCCCACTGTACACCTAGCTTAATGCAGACTCTGGGATCACGTGGGTCTCACACTAAAGGTTCCCAGTGGAGAGGCCAGGAACCAACAGCCCTTAGAGTACAGTTTGTCTTATTCACCTCTGTCTTTTCTGAGCCTCATACAGTGCCCAGCACAGAGTAGGAACTCAGTAAATAGCAACTGCCTTGAGCAGTTAAGCCTCTGGCATTTGTATCCAATAACCTGGGTTCAATTCACAGCTGGTCCACTTCTGTGCTGTCTGACTCTGGGCAGTCCCATCATCCCTCTGAGATTCAATTTCCGCCTGTCTAGAGCTGTGGGAACTTGTCACTGCGGCCTGTGGAGGTTACAGGAGCTAATCCACGAAGAGCCTGTAGGCGCTGGACGAGTTATAGCTATTGGAGTTAACATCACTGCGATGACGTCAGAGCCCTGGCAAACTCTCTGGTCTCCAGTCCACCCGCAAACCAAGGCTTGACCAAATTGCCTGTCTCATCCACACTAGGGTGCTAGGCACTAGGGCGAATGGTTGTTTCAATGGGTGTAGATTACCACCTAGTGGAAGAGAGAGGAAAATTGACAAACTGTAACAGTGACATTATGAATGTTTAGGAAGTCACAGTTTTAAAAATAGAAATAAAAGGCCAGCAGGTAGCATGGAGATTAAGGTGGTGGATCCCACATAACCAGCTGTGCAGTTTGAGTCCTAGACCCGGTGGCTTGAAAATCACGCCAGTGGGCCAGCAGGTGGTGTGGTGGTTAAAGCAACTGGATTCCTGACTATTGTTTCAGTCCTGGACCTGGTGGCTTCAAACTCATTCCAAGCGTGTGTGCGTATGTGTCCAAAATCCCAAGGAGAGTGGAGGAAAAGGGACTGTGGCATAGGGGGCTGGGGAGGTCTCACTTTCCCTCTCTCTGTCTCTTTATGTTTCTCTTCTCTCCAGCAACCACTTATGTCCTACGGCAAAAACCTGAAAGAAAAAAAGAAAGAAAAAATCATTCTGGGTGCATGTGCACACATGCTCAAAATCCCAAGAAGAGACTGCGATGTGGCCATCCCCCCGGGGATATATATATATACGTAAATGCCTCAATACAAGGTGACACCAAATCTAAGTCAATTTTTCCAGTGGGCTAATAACAACTATTTCCCAGTGAGAAACGAATGTTTTGAGGTTTTCCTGATTATATAAAATTTAGAGAAATCAAGGATGCACGTAATATTTAATTTGTTTAAATACACATTATACATTTATATATGTTTTATGAGTAATACAGAAGGATTACTGTTTTCCACCTTTATAATTTTTTTAATTTTTAATTTTTTTAAATTGACGCAGTAATTGTACATATGTATGGGGTTTGTAGTGATTTTGTGGTGCCTAAATACAATGTGTAATGATCAAGTCAAGGTAATTAGCATATCTGTCATCTCAAACATTTATAATTACATTGCGTTGGGAACAATTAAACTATTCTAGCTTTCCCAAAATATACAACAAATTATTGTTAGCTATGGTCACCCTATTAAGGAAATTTTTTTTTCTTTTCTTTTTTTTAGTATTTTCCCATAGGGCACATGTGCTCGCAGGAGAGAGACAGAGAGAGAGAGTGAGACAGTGAGAGGAAAAGTGAGACATCATCCCCGGGGGGGATGGCCACGTCGCAATCCCTTCTCCTCCATTCTCCTCTCAGGATCTTGGGCACGCACGCACACAAGCCCAGCATGAGTTTAAGCCACTGGGTCCAGGACTCGAACCACAGTTTACTACATGGGAATCCAGCAACATAGCCATTACTCCAGCTGATGGTCCTGAGAGGATTTCTGAAAGTGAGAAAGCACAGGAATGGTCACTCATTAATCCCTTCTCCTCCATTCTCCTCTCAGGATGTTTGGGCATTCACACACCATGTGCCCTGTGTGTTTTCCATGCTACTAGGTCCGGGACTTGAACAGTTGGCCATGTGGAACCTAGCCACCCCATGCCACTGGCTGGCCCCAAGAGGATGTATGTGCGTGTATATATCTATATAGATAATTTTTATATAATTTGGGGCATACACACGTGCACCTGGCTAGGACGGGATTCAAACCGTACTTGCCTTAACGACTAGGCTATGGCCAGGGTCAAGAAGGATTTTTTAAGTTTTTGCTATAGGGCACATACACTCGCCAGAGAGAGATAGGGATAGTGAGAGGAAAAGTGAGAAATCATCTCCCAGGGGGGATGGCCACACAGTAATCCCTTCTTCTCCATTCTCCTCCTGGTATTTTAGTACACACACATGCACCTGACATGATTTTTTTATTTTTTGGAGAGATTTTCACTGTAGGGCGTGTGCGCTCGCCAGACAGACAGAGAGAGACATAGAGACAGAAAGCGAGAAATCACCCCCCAGGGGGGATGGTCACGCCGCAATCCCTTCTCCTCCATTCTCCTCTCGGGATCTTGGGCACGCACGCACACGCGCCCAGCGTGAGTTTTAAGCCACCGGGTCCGGGACACGAACCGCGGTCGACTACGTGGGAGACCAGCGACATAGCCATTACGCTAACTGCTGGTTCCCCTGACATGATTTTTGAACCATGGTTGGCCATGTGAGAGTCCAGCGCCTTAACCATTATGCCACCTGCTGGCCCCACCCCAAGAAGGATTCTTAAAAGGGAAAACAGGGTCAGCCAGTGTCATGGTGGCTAAGGTAGCTGGATCCCACATGGCTGACCCTAGATCAAGCCAGATCCAGTGGCTTGAAAATCTTATGTTGGGAACACGTGTGCACGTGCTCCCCCCACACACACACACACACATATGGGGGTGGCCACACTGCAATCCCTTCTCCATTCTCCTCTCAGGATTTTGGGCACATTCACACACACATCCTGCTTGAGTTTCAAGCTGCTTGTCAGGGACTCCAATGTGGAAGCCCAATGCCTGCCTCAGTCTGCAGTATTTTAACTTGTGATGTGGCATTTAACGTGGGGTTACTTTGGTTCCTCTAATAGCCCTTGGAACCCAATTTTCCCTTCCCTGGAATCCATTTCCTCACCGTTTTTCCCGACTGCCTTAAAGAGGAAGAGGAATTTCCAGCTCAGCAAACTTTCCGTTTCCAAGTAAGAAAAAAGGAAACAAAAACAGCTCAGTTTCAGTTTCAGTTTCAGCTTCCAGCAGTCTGGGGAACAGGCTGTTTAGCTCAGGCAGCGGAGGGAGGAGCAAGCGCTGCTCGGAGAGGTTTCCCAGCCCTTTCGGGGAGGAGAGAAGAAATCCTTTCCATCCCAAACTGCGTCCTTCGCGCTCAGTCCTTTAGCCCTCCGGAGAAAGGCTGAAGGTCCCCGTTACAGCGCTGGGCAGAGCAGAGACGATTTATTCCAAGGGGCAGCCTGATCCTGCAAAGATGGAGCCCTCCCAGGATCTGTACGAGACCTCTGGGGACAGGCTGGACGCCTTTGTGAAACACAGCCTTCAGCCTCAAGCGGACTGGAAGGAAGAACTCCAGGACGCCTGGCAGCGAGTGGAGCGGTTCTTGCGGGACGGGTGCTTCTGTGGTGAGCTAGTTCTGGGCCAAGAAGTCAGGGTGCTGAAGGTGGTGAAGGTAAGCAAGCACCTGGGAACCCTGGGCTTTCTGATCCCGGGTCTGCCCCTGTGGGGCTGTGGGACCTTGGAGGGTCGGTCATTCTCTCTGAGCTTCAATCTCCTCTTGAACCCAAGTTTGCTTGGAGCAATGTATGGAATAGAGCATGGAGCAGTGTGCTTAAGCAGCAAATTATTCCACAGATATCAAGACCCAGCTCTGTGAGTGTTAGGGAGTAGGTGGAATATGGATAGCAAGTTTCTATAAGATGCATATTTTGGGGGCCAGCCGATGGTATGATCAAGACACTGGACTCCCACATGGCAGACTGTGGTTCAAGTCCCAGACGGGGTGGCTTGCTTTCTCACTTTCTCTCTCCCTCTCTCTCTCATGAGCACACATGCCCTACAGCAAACTTAAATAATAACAATAGCAATAATAAGTAAAATAAATTGTTTAAAGATTTATACTTTTCGCTTCTTGTTTAAGAAACCTCACTTTACCCCCAAAGTCACAAAGATAATCTATATTTTTCTTCTGCAATGGCACTGACTGATTGTATTAGAAACTACCTAGCGACCAGGTAATGCCAGAGGGCACTTTATGGGTTTAATGGATTTCAGGGGATGATGGTATCATTTATAATCAGCACCTCTTTAAAGTGTGGTTTCTCCTGGGAACGTACTAAATCGAAATGCAACTTTTAACACTGCACCCTAAAGCAAAAGTGCCTTGACTGTAAGTCTAGATGTAGTTCATTTTGCTGAAATGAAAGACCTCTCGCATTAATTTAAGTATAAATCGGGCTTTATCTGAGAGTGGTACTGGCTGCCTCGGGTAAGACCGAGGAGGAGGAACCTTTAAATAAAGCTTTGAAACCAAATATTCAGAAATTATTAGCAAGCCATGAGCTTCACAACAGAAAGTTAAGACCAGTCTAGGTGGCCCAGCAATAAAGCAACACTTCACAATGCTAAGCCACATGGGTAGGTCCTAGGTTCAAGTCCCAAGATCTCCTTGTCCACGCTGGGTGTACACACATGCCCATGATCCTGGCTGGCCAAGGCTGGACTAAGAAATGAAAACCCTGCTGTGGATGCCAATGTGTGTATATCTTTCTCTCCCTCGTGAAATAATTAAATAAACTTTAAAAACCACACAGAAATTCTAATTTCTCTAGTTGCTTAAAAAGATAGAACTTTGGGACCAGCAGATACCGTAATGGTTACGTCACTGGACTCCTATGTAGTCAACTGTGGTTCGAGTCCCGGACCCAGTGGCTTAAAACTCATGTTGGCTATGTGTGCATGCGTGCCCAAGATCCCAAGTGGAAAATGGAGGAGAAGGGATTGTGATATGGCCATCCCCCCTGGGGAGTAATTTCTTACTTTCTGTCTCTCTGTCTCTCCAGTGAGTGCACGTGCCTATAGCAAAATCTCTCACTAGAAAAAGATAGAATTTTTTATGGGGCCAGCAGGTGGCATAGTGATTAAGGCGTTGAACTCCCACATGGCCAACCGCAGTTTGAGTCCTGCACCTGGCGGCTTGGTTTTTCATTTTCCCTCTCAATCTCTCTTTCTTCTCTCTCTGGTGAACACATATGCCCCATAGCAAATTTTAAAATAATATTTCATTTCATTTCATTTTAAGAAAAAAGATCTTTGCATTCCTGGATGCCTCTGCTCTAGAGCTCTACAAGTGGGGCACCCCTAATCCGGAAATCCAAAATCCAAAATCCTTCCAAATCTGAAATTTTCTGAGCAGCAGCCTGACACCACAAGTGTCATTTTGAAACATCCCTAGAAGGATTCTCTGTCTGTCTTGAGCAGCACAAGAATACCTACGCAAAGCACCTGTGGAGCTAAAGGCCTTATTTGAATAAACATCAGTGGACAAAGAATCACAGGGCGCATTGCACATAATTCAACATTTGCTTTTTCTTTGCCTTTGTTGACCTTTCTAAGCATTAATATCACCAGGGAAAACTCTACACCTGACCTCATGTGATTGATTATTGTCAAAATGCTGCAGTACAAAAATATTGTACGAAATTACTTTCAGACTATGCATATTCAGATGTTGTTATGGCTTATACCATGGTCTGTTCCCCCAAAAACTCATGGGTTGGGACTTGACTGTATTATTAAGGCGTCAAGTGAGAACTTATTTCCTTCATGGTGTCCCAGGCTGAGGACCTTGAGTAAGATCATTAGAGCAGGGCCTGTTCTGGTGGGTAGGTAAGCAGAGGAAATGAGACCAGAGGACACGAAGGAGCTTATAAACAGCCACTCTGCTCACAGTTCTCTCTCCACCATATAGTAATGCTTTTGGACATTCCGGGCACCAGAATTGTAAACCTTTATTTTTATAAATTACCCTGTCTCAGATACTTCTATTAGCAATGCAATAACAGACTAAAGTACATATGAAACATAAATGAATTTCATGTTTAAACGTGTGTCCCTTCACCAAAGTACCTCATTATGTACATGCAGATATTCCAAAATCCGAAAGACTCTAATGCAAACACTTCTGTCCCCAAGCATTTCAGGTAAGAAGTCCTCCACCTGCGTCACCCTCTTGACTTACAAGCTGTGAGGGGAGAAAAAGAGAAACTCCACCTCGGAGCCAGAAAGGGGATGCATCTTCTCTTAAGTCTGAGTTTGAGGGTGTTTAACTATTTGAAAATATGTTCTGAATAAAGCTCGAACGCAGATTCAGAAATTTCAATAGGAGACGTGCATTTATGTTACTCCAAACACCTACCTATATCTTGAAGTTGCTATGTCCTTTTTGTTTCCTCCTAGGTTGTTGCCATAGGGCATATGGACTCCCTTGGAGAGAGACAGAGAAAGTGAGAAATCATCCCCCGAGGGGGATGGCCACACTGCATTCTTTTCTCCTCTCAGGATTTTGGGCACATAAGTGTACCCGGTGTGATTTTCAGGCCGCCATGTTTGGGACCCAAGCCATGGTTGGCCATGTGGGAGTCCAGCACCTTAACCACCACACCACCTGCTGGCCCCATTTCTATGTCCTTTTTTTACACATACACATCAGGTAAAGGTTATCTGCTGGGGGGGGGGGGGGGGGGCAATAGCAAAAAACAATACTCTTAAAAAAGACAAGAGATTATTTGTCTGTATAAGAAAACAATCTTTTTCACTCTTGCTCTCTCAATGAGCTGTATTTCTAGAAGTCGAAACACCCTTAGAATGACTCTCTGCTTGTTTTGAGCAGCACAGAAATGCCTAGAGCAAAGTGCCTGGGAAGCTGAAGATCCTGTTTGAATCGACTTCAGTAAACAAGGACCTGCGGGGCCCATTGCACATAATTCCACGTTTGTTTTCTCTCTGCCTCTGTTGACTTTTCTAAGCATTAAATTTTCATGGTCCCAGCTAGTTTCTGGGTCTCACCCATCCATATTAGGATGAGAGTGCTGTGTTTCACTAGAGCTAAATGTGCTGATTACGTGTGGTTTCCTGCCGTGAAGGTCTGACAGCCTTCTGGGACTACTCATAACTCTGGCAAGGACCTTTCTCACTGTACTTAATCGCCAACCCCAAAAGACATACATAGTCTTGAGCCATCTGCTGCTCCCATGTTTTCATTTTCTTGTTGTCAGAGGGCATTGCATGTGTGAAAGAGAGCACTCTCCCTCCCAGTGGGATGTGTTCACACCACAGTCCTTTACTCTCCATTTCTCTATCCTGTCAGGATTTGGGGCACACATACTCATGCACCTGGCATGTTTTTCAACGCTCTTGGGCCAGGACTTGAACCAGGGTCAGCCATGTGTGATCTGGGTCCCTGTGCACAGTGCTTAACTCCTGTGCCATGGGGATGGCCCTATATCCTTGAATTGTTTACCAGGTATTTAATTTTTTTTAATCAATGGAAAGATGTAATACTGACAGCAAAGGCCACTGTGTGTGATGGAGACCAAGGGCTCCTCTGTAAACCACCTAACAGGGCACTTCTGGCTTCACTCCCAGCCTCAAAGGTCTCAGTGGACGTAAAGCCCATCGTTGCTGTCCTCCACAGGGCGGCTCTTCAGGAAAAGGGACGACGTTGAACAACAGCTCTGACCTGGACCTGGTGCTGTTCCTGAGCTGCTTTTCCAGCTTCCGAGACCAGGCGTGGCACCGAGGATCCATCATCGACTTCATCAAGGAGAAATTGGTGCACTGTAGCAGAAGCTTGGCCTACAACATCACTATGCTCGAACACAAAGGGAAGGCCAGGACTCCTCGCTCCCTGTCCTTCCAGGTCCAGTCCAGGAAGAGCAGTGACGTCATTTTGGTGGATGTGCTCCCAGCATTCAACGCTCTGGGTAAAGCCACTGATGAGTCAAGTCCCGAGAAGCTAGTTGCGGGAGGGGTGGGGGGTCCCTTCACTGCACTGGCCTCCAGAGAGTTGGAGAAAGTGAAAACCAATGGAGAGAGAGTAGAGATTTCTCTTTTTCAGGGAGACGGGACAGTAGCTGTGCCAGTCCTCATACTACTGTGCATGGTACCATGGCCTGGTTTGCATGGGCAAAGGGAACTTCTCCCAAATAATAGATTGTCATCCAGTACAAAAAAAGAGATCCCTCTTTGTTTCTCTGGGAAATGCCAGGTTAAGCAAACACTTCAGCGTCTTTAGAATCAGAACTAAATTGGAATCATCTTTAAAACAGGGCTCTTCATGTGTTCAAATTTTGTCCTTAAGACTTACTGGCTGGGACCAGCAGATGGCATAGCAGTTATGTCACTGGACTCCCACATAGTCAACCATAGTTCGAGTCCCAGAGCTGTTGGCTTGAAAATCACACTGGGCATGTGTGTGTGCATGTGCCCAAGATCCCAGGAGAAGAATGGAGTAAAAGGGGTTATAGCATCCCTGGGGGTGTTTCTCTTCCCCCCTTCCTCTAGCACGTGCATGCAAACTGTCGCAAATTAAAAAAAAAAAACGTTTACTAGTTGCATGACTTTGGACAAGCTATTTAATACCTCCAAGACTCAGCATGCCAATGTAAATGGGACAATAATATTAAATTCAAGTGGAACCGTAGGAAATCAACAATATTTCACTATGCTTGACCCACAGAAATGCCCATTTCTTATGGTTCCACTTAAATGTACATTCGTTTAAAAAGAAGAATGCCAGGTGTATGTGCACACATGACCAAAATCTCAAAAGGAGGAAAAAGTGGAGGAGAAGGGATTATGGCATGACCGTTCCCCATGGGGGGGCACTTTCTCCTCTCCCTCCCTTTTCTCTGTCTCTTTCTTTCTTTTTATTTTTTTAAAGAATTATTTTATTTAACTTTATTTATTTACTTGTTTTAAATTTGACCAGAGAGGGACAGAGAGAGAGAGAGAAAAAGCAAGTTGCCGGGTCCGGGACTTGAACCACAGTTGGCCATGTGGGAGTTCAGTACCCTTAACCACCATGTCATCTGCTGGCCCACGTCTCTCTTTCTAGCAGGTACATGCACCTTCTAGTGTGGAAAAAAAAAAAATAAGTTTTAAAACGGGAAAAATAATACTGCAATGAGGATTGCATGAGATAATTTAGGCACTTCTGTGCACAGTAGTCCTTTTCCAACGCTCTTCCTCACCTGAAAAAGTCAATTTTCCTGACCAGTCACTTCGTTTCTCTCTCAGGACACTTTTGCACAGATTCTAAACCAGACCCGGAAATCTATGAAAATTTAATAATCAGCCGCGGCGGCCCCGGAGAATTCGCCCCCAGCTTCACAGAGCTGCAGAGGCACTTCGTGAAAAGCCGCCCTCCTAAACTGAAGAGCCTCCTGCAGCTAGTAAAGCACTGGTACCTGCAGGTGAGTGAGTGGGCGCTAGCTAGGAGGGGCAGGGGAAAGATGGAGGAGAGAGCGGGCCCATCCCAGCATTTTTTAAAGAGGGAAAAAAGAGAGGGGGTGGTTAAAGCGCTAGGTTCTCATATGGCTGACCACAGTTCAAGTCCCAGATTTGGCAGCTTGCTTTCTCACGTTCACTCTCTCTGGTATGCACACATACCCTGTAGCAAATTTTAAAGTGATAATAATAATAATAATAAATTAAATAAATGCTTAAGAAAAAATGGAAACAACCTGATTGTCTAAGGAAAAGAGATAGATTAAGTAGCATAAGTGAAATAATTGGAAACTATTTGAGAACTACAAAGCACTAGACAACGTCAGGGGTAGCTGTTACTGGTTGTGGTGGTGTTGGTTGTTGCAAATGTATGTTATCTTCTCGTTTGTTTGCTGGTTTGCTAACATTTTATATTAGTGAAATCGTGAATACAACCTAAATGACAACCCATAGGACGAGGGCTGCATGAATTGAAATATATCCAGTGATTGTAATCATGCAATTACCTAAATGGTAATTAAGTATTCTGCACAATAGCAGAGACATACATATGGTATATGTTAAGTTAAAGAACATACATCAGGGAAGTAGGTGGTGTAGTGGTTATGCTGATGGACTCACATGTGGTCAACTGCAGTTCGAGTCCCAGATCCAGCAGCTTAAGACGCGTACCTGGAGGAGTGCAAATCCCAGGAGAAGAATGGAGGAAAAGGGATTGTGGTGAGGCCATCCTCCCTGGGGGGGTGATTTTTCACCTTTTTTGGCAGGGAGCCATGGGGCCCACGTGCAGGCCAGAGAGAGACAGTGAGAGGGAAAGTGAGAAATCACCCCACAGAGGGATGGCCACGCCACAATCCCTTCTCCTCCCTGGGTTTAGGGTATGTACGCACATGCATCCAGCATGATTCTCAAGCCACCAGGTCCGGAACTTAAATCGCAGTCAGCCATGTGGGGAGTCCAGTGCCTTAACCACCATGCTACCTGCTGGCCCCAAAAATTGAACACTTCACAGTATTATTCTTCCCCTTTCATTTTTCAGTTTGTTCTGGTTTTATGTTTCCAGCACATCTATGTGTTTTAATTCTTTTCTTTTTTCAATTATCTCCTATATACACTATACTACATTGCCTCCTCCATTCCAACTGAATAATATGGATTGATGAGGCCCAGAAGGTACATAGACATGCCACCTTCCTGGGACCAGCAGTTAGCATAATGGTTATATTGCTGAACTCCCATGTAGTTGACCGCAGTTCGAGTCCCGGACCCGGTGGTTTAAACTCACACCGAGTGTGTGTGCATGCATGCCCAAGATCTTGAGAGGAGAATGGAGAAGAAGGGATTGCAGCGTGGCCATCCCTCCGAGGGGTGATTTCTCACTTTCTGTCTCTCTGTCTTTCTCTGTCTTTCTGGCACGCACCCTATACCAAAAAACTCTCAAAAAAAAAAAAAAAAAAGAAAGAAAAGGAAAGGAAAGAAAAGAAAAGAAATGCCACCTTCCTGTTTATTGAAAACTGGAAGGTCTCGGGACATAAGTCCCTCTAGACCCCAAGCTGTTTCATAGCTTATGCTACATAATGCCACAGAGTGACCTAGAAATTCCCAAGATTATCAGCCTCATGCATTCATTCTCCACCGCCTCCAACTTTTCTCCAGCCCTTGAAACGTAAATACCCACGAGCATCTTTACCCTCAAAATATGCACTTGAGCTCCTGACCATCTACGCCTGGGAAATGGGCACAGATGAAAGTGAGAACTTCAACATGAACAAAGGCTTCGTGGCGGTGATGGAGCTCCTCAGAGACTATGAGGACATCTGCATTTACTGGACCAAGTACTACGATTTCCAAAGTGAGATCGTCCGAAACTTTATCAAGCACCAGTTGAAGGGGTGCAGGTGAGTATGTCGGTTGCATTACTTTCAGCTTCCAAGAATAGAAATTCCAACTCGAATAGTGAAAAGCTGTGGGTGGGGGGCGGAGGGCTATCGACTTTTGAAACTAAAATTCCAATGATGACAACAGGTTCAGGTTTGGTGTGATCCAGCTATGTCATGAGAATCTCATTCCGTGAATTGCTCAGCTCTGCTCTTTTCAGGGTTTTACCATGAAATTTAATTCAATTTCTTCATAGCGGCATCATTTACGGGCTTCCTAACTGGACACATTCCCATACAAGAGGGAGCATTCCAAGCAAAATCTCTGTAATTCACTGTGATCGAGCCAGTTTACATTATATGCCCATTCCCGATGCAAGAGCCTCACAATCCCATAGACTTGAGTCCCAGAGCCAAATCCTGATGTGACAAAGATTTATTTGCTTCTCTTTTCTCTCCCAGGCCCATTATCCTGGACCCAGCTGACCCCACCAATAACCTGGGAAGCAATAAAAGATGGGACCTAGTGGCCAAAGAGGCTGCTCACTGCCTGCGGCAGGCCTGCTGCAAGACTGAAGAACCCGGCCAGGGCTGGCATGTACAGGTACACCCCCTCACCCCATAGTCAGGACCCCGTGTTGACCTCTCTCTAGCCCCACACGCATCCACTCAACTCTTGTTCCAGCACTCACAAGTTCCCAGGGCAGGCAGCATTTCCCATGTAGACAGCCCAACCAACCAGGTGCGCTGTTCTTGCCCTTCTCTTGGAACCTCAGTTCTTTCATTTATCAGATGGACAGGCAATTCCTGCCCTGCTCGGTAGCCGTTTGAGAGAGACAGTGAAAAAATTTACGTACATGTATATGAGATCCATCCTGTGGGGTGGTGTTTCTATTATGGGCTGTTAAAAGCTTAATTTCTTGGGGCCTAGATAGTAGTGAACCATAAAAGGCAACACTGTAAGGCTGATTTACATGGGAAGCTGCAGGGTTCACGTCCCAAGACCTCCCTGAGTATGATAGGCACACCCATGGCCGTGATCTAAGGCCGGCTGAAACTGGGAGTGAACTGTAGAATCAAGACCTTCTTGGGGGCCAGCAGGTGCCTTGGTGGTTAAGGTACTGGACTCCCACATGGCAAACCATGGTTCGAGTCCCAGACCTCATGACTTGCTTTCTGCCTTTCCTTTTCTCTGTCTCTGGTGAGCACACATGTCCTAAAGCAAATTAAAAGTAATAATAATAAATATATTTTTTAAAAAAGACCTTGTTGGAGGGGGCTTCCCTGTAACCTACTGGATAAGGGAGCTGGATCCCATGTAGCAGACCACACAAATCGAACCCCAGCCCCAGAGACTTGGAAACATGCCAGGCGCATGTGCTTGGGTACCCAAAAATCTCACCAGGATGGAGAATGGAAGAGAAGGGATTATGGCTTGACCATGCCCATTGGGGGTGGGGAGTGCTTTCTTCCTCTCCTTCTCTGTCTATTTCTCATGTAATAAAATTTTAAAAAATTTTAAAAAAACCCTATTGAGAGTATGCTCATACTCACTTTCTGTCTCTCTCACTCACAGAATAAATAAAATTTTTGTTTTGTTTTGTTTTGTTTTAGAGAGATTTTAGCTATAGAACGCATGTGCTTGCCAGACAGACAGAAAGGAGGGGAAATGGCCATGTCACAATCCCTTCTCCTCCATTCTCCTCTTGGAATTTTGGGCATGTACACACACATGCCCGGAGTGTTTTAAATTGCCAGGCCCGGGACTCAAACCATGGTCGGCTACATGGGAGTCCAGCAGTGTAACCATTATGCCATCTGCTGGTCTGAAGAAATAAACTTTAAAGGAATGCCTGTTACTCTCTATCCCTCCCTTCTCCCCACACCTTCCCATTAAAACAAAATAAAAGGCAAAGCAAATTGTTGAAAAGAATACACAAAGTCTCCCTGCCATCCCCACCCCTGTCTCTCAGCCCCTCCCATCCCAGACACCCCACTGATCAACTGCTTGCATCTCTTTCCATAGACATACAATACACCAGGGGCTGGTTTCATGAAAGACGGTTTTTCCAAGGACTAGGGTGTGAGGGAGGCATTGTTTCAGGATGATTCCAGCACCTTACACTTACTGTGCAATTTATTTCTATTGTTATTACATTGCAATGTATAATGAAATAACTGTACAACTCACCATAATGCAGTATTTGTATCCACTCCCCAATGATAGTATCACCACATCAGCTCCGCCTCAGATTATCAAGTATTAGAGTCCCATAAGGAGCACACAATCTACTAAGTCATTGGAAAAGTCATGACATATTTTTCTATATTTTTTCTGTGCAAAAATGCATCATGACTTTTCCGACAATCCAATAGGTTCCTCACACGTGCAGTTCATAATAGAGTTTGCACTCCTAATGACATCTAATGTTGCAGCTGATCTGACAGGAGACAGAGCTCAGGCAGTAATGCAAGTGACAGGAAACAGCTATAAATACAGATGAAACTTCACTCACTTGCTGCCATTCACCGCCTGCTCTGCAGCCTGGTACCAGCGCATGGCCCAGAGGTTAATAACCCCTGCTCTACCATGCATCTCAGCCTGACATACATTAAATCTTGTAGCCCACAACGATGCCATGATGTACCTATGGAGTAAGTACTACTGTTATCTCCACATGAATCGTTCCACAGAGGAGGAGTGTTATTTTGAGAACCGTCACCAGTTGTTACTCTGGTTCAGGTGAATCTGAGGTCAGTGTTTGACCCAATGGTACTGTAAAGCTAGGATGATCTTCTTTGCCTGGGTCGATCCTAGTTGATGTCTGTGTCTCACAAAATTATTAATAGAACTTCTTTTTATTTTTAAAATTATCTTGGGGGCCGACTCCATGGCCTGGTGGTTAAGGCAGTTGGATCCTACATGGCCAACCACACAGTTCAAGTCCCAGACTTGGGAGATTGAGAAACTCACCGGGCACCTATGTATGCATGCCCAGAATCCCAAAAGGAGGGAAAGATAGAGGAGAAGGGGTTGCGATGCAACCATTCCCCATAGGGAGTGCTTCCTCCCCCCCTTCTCTTTCTGTCCTTCCCTGGCAAGCACATGCACCCTCTAGCACACACAAAAATTAAAAAAGTGTCTCTGGAGGCAATAAATTATATTGTCAGCAGCCAGAAGGAAGTGGAGACAACAGATAACCAGGACCACCCAGATACGCTTATCTGTTCCTCCTCCCTCACCCCTTTCCAGCCAGCAAGGAATGTCCAGGTGACAGTGAAACCAACAGGACAGGCTCCCCGGATCCTCTCAGTGAACCCCTACAGCCCCATCTGGAAGATGAAGATGGAGATTAAGAGGTTGTACAGTCTCGAGAAGCAGCAGCGTCTCTCCTTCCAGGAACCAGGAGGAGAGCGGCAACTGCTCAGCAGCCAGCGGACCCTGGCGGATTACGGGATCTTCTCCAGGGTGAGTGTCCGGGTGCTGGAAACCTTGCCTCATGAGATCCAGGTCTTCATAAAGGACTATAGCGGCCAGAGTAATCCGTACGCCATCGACCCTGATGACTCTATCCGTGACTTGAAAGAGAAGATTGAGGAAGCTGCAGGACCTTTCGTGGAAGATCAACTACTAACATTCCAGGGTCGGATATTGGGGAATCGTCGCAGCCTGGCAGACCTACAGATCAAAGACTGTGACACCATCCTGCTCATTAGGAAAACCTGAAGGCCTCCAGAGGGACCAATACCTGTTCCCTAACACTTGGAATTCCAGAAGGCTGAAACCCCGTGACTGTTCCAGTCCACTTTATGCTGTTACAGCACAATTTGTGAGACTAGGTAACTAATAAAGAATAAAGATTCAGGGCCAGCAGGTGGCACAGAGATTAAGATAGCTGGATACCACATGGCCAGCTTCATAGTTTGAGTCCTGGACCCAGTGGTTTGAAAATCACACCAGGTCCATGTGCATGTGTGCCCAAAATCCCAAGAGGAGGATGGAAGAGAAGAGAACACAGCATAGCCATCCCGTCTAGGAATTTTTCACTTTTTTTTCTCACTGGCAAGCACACAAGCCCTATAGCAAAACTAAAAATATATAAATAAATTAGGATAAAGATATATGAGGTCAGCAGATGGCATAGAGGTTATGTCACTGGACTCCCACATGGCCGAACGCAGTTTAAGTCCCAGACTCAATGAATTAAAATCCATGCCAGGCACAGATGCATGCGTGCCCAAGATCCCAGAAGGAGAATGGATAAGAAGGGATTGCAGTGTGGCCATCCCCCATGAACGGTGATTTCTCACTTTCTGTCTCTCTGTCTCTGTCTCTCCAGTGAGTATGTACACCCTATAGCAAAAATCTCTCAAAACAAACAAGTGGAACTAGTGTCAAACATGTACGTATGTAATGTTCAATGTTGAAGAACAATGACTGTGTCTGTATTTTTTATTTCAGTATACACTGTATGCATGCTTTGAAAAACCATACTTGTACCCCCACATGAAGAGGTACAATAACTGGTTGTAAACCAGGAATCATAAATTTTAAAATAATAATAAAATATTTTTCATGAAAAAGAGAGTGGAAACTTGCCGTAGAAGGCTATTACAGTCATCAAGGAAGAGGGGATGATGGTTTGGTTGGGGGTAGAAGGGGAGCTGGAAAGTAGATGAAGTCAAGGTCCAAAAGGCTTGACCATGGATAAAATTGTTACAGTAGGGGGCTATAGGTCGGGAGAGGATTTAAGAAGCTTGCTGGGAGACCGGAAACACTGTTAACCCGATCTGGACGGTGCTTACAGGGGTATGTGCAAATGCGAAAACTCTCCAGCCGTATAGTTAGACATTGCAGACGGAGTTCCCGGGGGAGCAGATTCTGAGTTGGATATGAAGCACAGGAAGTTTACCAGGGAGTGTTCGCAGGAATCACACCTGGAAAGGCCGGGGAGGAAATGGGCCGGGATGGAGAGACAAGGCGGACTATGCTGCAGTCACAGTGAAGACGTAGGGATCCGAGGTGGCCCTTCAGAGCAGTCCCCAGTGAAGGCAGAGAGACCAGGTCCCAATCCCCTCCACATCGATCCATCATTGAATACAAGCAGCCCCAGTAAAGAGGGTGTCATCTTGGGCAAAGCAACCTCCCTGTCTGAAGGCAGTGCTCGGGCAGGGAGCAGCTGGGGAAATGAGTCCTGAAGGGAGGGTGTGGAGCACTTCAGAGCTTTCACTTCACTTCAGATCCGTGCTCTTTGTTGTCACTTATATCTCAACGGAATAATCCAGAGAAGAATGACTCCCACAGCTCTAACCACTTTTAATAGGAGGTGAGCCGGACACTTTTTGGGGGGGAGTTGGGAGGGTTTTTTTGTTTGTTTGTTTTTTGTTTTTTTGGTTTTTTGCTATAGGGTGCGTGCGCTTGCCAGACAGAGACAGAGAGACAGAAAGCAAGAAATCACCCCCCAGGGGGTATGGCCACGCCGCAATCCCTTCTCCTCTGCTCTCCTCTCGGGATCTTGGGCACACACACACACACACACGCACGCACGCACACACACGGTGTGAGTTTTAAGCCACTGGGTCCAGAACACGAACCGCAGTCGACTACATGGGAGTCCAGCGACATAGCCATTATGCTAACTGCTGGTCCCAAGGAAGGGGGGGATATTTTTGCTATAGGGCTCATGTGTTTACCAAAAAGACAGAAAGCGAGAAATTGCCTACCCGCCCCCCTCCAGGGGAGGTGGCCACGCTGCAATCCCTTCTCTTCCATTCTCCTCTCTGCATTTTGGGCACACACACACACACACGCCCGGCCTGAGTTTCAAGCAGCCAGGCCTGGGACTCAAACTGTGCTCAGCCACATGGGAGTCCAGCGCCTTAACCACTTCGCCACCTGCTGGCCCCAGACCCTACATTTCTTGCTCTTCGCACTCATCTCATTGAAATTGCCATGTGAGATTTGTCTCCTCCCTTAGAATAACAACTTCCATCAAGAGAGTTGATGTAAGAGAGTTGAGAGCTTTTTATCCAACACTCGTGGGAGCATCTCTGTAGCCCTGGGGGTCTAGGTACTACTGTCATTCCTATTTTACAGTTGGGGAAACCGAGATACGGATAGGTTAAGTGACTTGGACATTCACACAACTAGTGAGGCTGGATTTGAACCCTGGCACCCAGGCTCCAAAGCTCATGCTCATGATCACTGTGCTGTGTTATAAACTCAATAAAAATGGCGGACTGTATCTTATTCATCACTGTCTCCCAGTGCCTAGCATAGGGCTCATGGTTAATAGGTGCTCAGTAAATATGTGTTTAATGGGTGGATGACTCTAATAGGAAGTGAGTGGAGTGTTGTATGAGGCCTGGAACAACGTAACATATGTAAAATGTTTCCCCAGTGCCTGGCACACAGGAAGTGCCCAGTGAATGTAGTATCTACCAGCTGTCATTAGCTCTCTTCCGCCTCCAAGTTCTCCTTTCATATCGCAAGGTTGAGGTAGACAGCATTAAGAACTGCACATTCGGGACCAGCAGTTAGCATAATGGCTATGAGTCCCAGACCCGGTGGCTTAAACTCACACCAGGCACGTGTGTGTGTGTGCCCAAGATTCCGAGAGGAGAATGGAGGAGAAGGGATTACAGTGTGGCCATCCCCCCTGGGGGTTGATTTCTTGCCTTCTGTCTCTCCGTCTTTCTGGCGAGCGCACGCGCCCTATAGCAAAAACCTCTCCAAAAAAAAAAAAAAAGAACTGCACGCTCTCTGGTCCTTGCAGTTTCCTCACACCTAATCCCATAAGGGAACTAAAATGGCAAAAACAGAATGAATATTGCGGCAGCCATTGCCATTTCCTCCCATATCTTTTCTCTCTATTTTTTAAAATTTTTGGAAAGAATTATTTATCATATTTTACTTATTTTTAATTTTGCTATAGGGCACGTGCACTTATCAGACAGAGACAGAGAAAGAGAGAGAGAGAGAGAGAAAGTGAGAAAGCAAGCCACTGGGTCATGGAACTCAAACAGGGGTTAACCATGTGGAGTCCAGGACCTTAACCACTACCCCCCCTGCTGGCCCCCTTTCTCTCTTCCATTGCAATAGAATGTTTAAGTAGGCACAAACCAAAGGTTAAAAACTACATTTCCCAGTCTCCTTTGCAGCTGGATGTGACTTTGTGATTAAGTTATAACCAGTGAAGTTTATTTGAATTTTATGCATAAATTTGCATATTAATCCCTGAGAACTCCCATTTCTCTTTTGGGTCCAGAATCCCTAAGAATTATCTTCCTCCTGCTTTATATCCAGGAAAGAGAATGGAGGAAATGTGACATTAGGCATTGACAATACTTCTGTAAAAGTCACTGTTCTTTATAGGTTTAAGATTGGAGGGGCCAAGGATCAGCAGATGATGTAGTGGTTATATCACTGAACTGCCACATGGCCTACCACCGTTCAAGTCCCAGATCCGGAGACTTGAAAGTCAGTCACCCTGGACACATGTGGGTGTTTGCCTGAAATCCCAAGAGGACAATGGAGGAGAAGAGATCGAGGCGTGACTATCCTACCTGGGGGGTGATCTCTCACTTTCTGTCTCTGTTTTCTCTCTGGCTCTCCTGCAATCTGCCCTATAGCAAAAATCTCTCTAAAAAAAAAAAAAAAAGAGAGAGAGAGAGATTGGGGGAGCCAGCAGGTGGCATAATGGTTAAGGAAATGGACTCCCACATGGCTGACCATGGTTTGAGTCCAACCTGGCAGCTTGCTTTCTCACTTTCCCTCTCTCTCTTACTCTCTGTCTCTCTCTGGTGAACATATGTGCCCTACAGCAAACTAAATAATAACAATAATAATTTTTTAAATTAAATTAACATTTCTTTAAAAAAAAAAAGAAAAGATTGGGTGCAACTTTCTTCCATAGTACCACAGTCATCCCACAGATAAAGTGCCTAAGGTCCATAGGCCCAACTGTTTTCCTCAACTGAGGCAGTTAATTATGATGATCAAGGAAGGGGGGCTCCCTCGCTTGCCTACCTTTAAACAGGGGGCGGGGGATTCCCAACTTTGGGGACTTCTGGAGCCTATGGATATGAGTTAGCGTGAGCAAAGTTAAGGTTTTATCACCAGAGACCACAAGGAATCGAAGGAACTTGATTCGGCTCCAAGAAGCTATTCAGAGAAGGAAACCATAGAATTTCAAGGAGGAAGGAGCTTGAACTCCTGACCGTTCCATTTCCTCTACACCCTGGATTTGCTTCCTTTTCTATTTAACCTAAACCGCACAGTCAAGCCAACACACATGCCTTGACTTTTGCCTCATTTGTCGTAAGGATCCACTCATTCTTGGGTGGACCAGTCGGGTTGCAAGTGACAGGGCCCCGATTCAATTTAGTGTAAGCAAAATAAATGGAATGTACTGGCCCCTGAGAGTCGAGGGTCAGGGGTAGTAACAGCAGACACAACTGGATTTGACTAGTTAGGGTCTTCCAGAGTAACACAACCAATACGATAGATGCATTCAGAGGTACGTTATAAATACAGAATGGATATAGATATGGAAGGGCGGGCTTATTATGCTAATTATCTCACATGAGTATGGAGGCTGAGAAATCCCACAGCATGCGGTCTGTAAGCTGGAGAACCAGGGAAGCCTGTGGTGTAGTTCAGTCTCAGTCTGAAGGTCCGAGAACCGGAAGAGCCAGTGTTATCGGTTCTGGAGTTCAAAGAGCTGAGAACCTGAAGTTCTGACTTCTGAGGGCAGGAGCAGATGGAGGGAAAGTGAAACTGCTCTTTCCTCACCTTTTTGTTCGATCCCGTAGAGTGGATGGATGTTGCCTGCCCACATTAGTGAGGTCACATATTCATTATGTAGTCTCTTCTGGAAACACCTTGACGGACACACCCAGAAGTCAGGTTTTACCAGCTATCTGGACATGCCTTAACCCTGTCAAGTGGACTCTGAAAATTAGCTGTCACATGGGTCCAGGAGTCCAAATGATGACAGAAGGCGTGTCAGTTTATACTGAATACGAAACCACCCCTATAATGCCCATGCATTTGCTCATGATTGTGTGACTCATAAGAGCAGCTCTGGTCTGATG